CAAAAAAGCCAAACCATAAATGCCTGATTTCTCCTGGGTAAACTGGTAGTTAAACTGCAGGGAATTTATTTTAATTCTAGCAGCAAGCAGGGGGCTTGGGAGAGCCCACATCAGATTAGCTGCAGCATTTTACAGACGGGTACATTATTGAATGCCATTACAGCCCAGTTCTGAGAGCATGTTTCCACCCCATGCTGAACCCGGGAAGGCGGACATTACATGCCCCTGCCTCCCTCTCTCCCAGCCTTTCAGGAAGCTACAAAGCTAATTTTCCCCAGCAGTATTCACTGGAGGAAAAGTTCACTTCTTGTGAAGGTAACATGTATTTTTTTAATTATTATTATTATTATTTTTTATGCCTCCCCAGGGAAGGTGAGGAGGGGGGGAGCTTCCTTGCTCAACAGAGAAAGAAATTTTCCTGTATCAGTGCCAAGAATAGACACCCTAAATTCAGCGATCCTAATCTCCAGCCATCCATCAGCAGCAGGGTGGGACCAGCTGATTCAGATTTTCTATTAGCTAGCGACTTTGTGTACTAAAATAAGTCACTGTACCACCCCATTGTTCCTGCTGCTCTCTGCTCTGCAAAAGCACAGACTTAATAGTAGCTACCTCAACTAACGCTGCAAGTACTTCCCCAGCAGGTCCTTTATAACTGGCACAATCCTCTTCCCACCAACTCTCCCAAGTACCTGCGTGCTCCTGTGACTCTACATCGTGAGCTTTTCTTACGACATTTGCTCCACTATCCTTTTGGCATGCATCAAGGAAAATGCCAACTCTGAGTATCTACAGTACCACAGCAGGCAGAATCAGAGAACAAACCTAACCTGCAGACAGACAATTCGATGGCAACTGTTCCTTTACAGGGCCAATTAGTATGCATATAGACAGTGATCAAGGCCTATATATAGGGCACAGTGTGTGACACATGAAGACAGGATAAAATAATAAAACCCCCAGCTCTACATTTTAAAAGGCACGGGAAGATATCAAAACAGTTCACTGGTATATCAGCCTAATAAATGACTCTGTTGGTCAAATGTTCAATAACCCATATTCATTGGGTTTTTTTCTGGACCAGAAAATAAAATATGTGTAATTTGATTAACGTTATTCCATTATTTACACAGTAAAATCAATAGCAGAATAAGTAAACTGGCAAAGCATTTGAAAATAACACTAAATAAAACCAATTAAAAATGCACGACCAAGGCTAACGGCAAACTGTGAACCCAGTCAGACAACTCACACTCGCACAGTTGGTACTCTGCAAGTTTTCAACTCCCACAGGCTAGCGCCATGCATTGGGAGCAAAAATAAAGAAAGAATCTGAGACCAGTTCATTTCAGTTAAACAAAACACAAGCAGCATGTGTCTCCATGAGTCACACAAACTTCTGTTCTCATTCACATTCCTATAGCTACGGAGAAACAAAAGGAGTTAGTAAGCCAGGTCTCTGTGGATATTAGGAGCACGGGCCATGCACAAGCAAGTAAATTTTTAGCGAAGATAAAGGCAAATGTTTTATGAGTTCAGATAGCTCTAGAGCATCCCAAGATTTGGTATCCAGACAAACACATTTGGTCTAAGCTTCTCTGCAGATTAGAGAAGCTTTTGGACCCATTGTTCTAGTTCAACATCACCATTAGCCAAAGAGAAAGGTAGCCGGCCATTCCAAACAAAGGAAACAACACCCCTGCTACCAAAATTTTGAAAAGCAACTGCTGATTTTGGGTGTCCTATATAACCCATATTAATAGAGACAAAATTTTCAGAAAGCTACAGATATCCTCCTCGTAACTACCTTCCTTTCCTAGTGACAAAATTGGCATCCAAACAACCAACACAAGACCACAGGTCCATAGTTCCTTTGAAAAGAATGGCCTCCAAAGTCAGTAGTGGAAATCCAAAGGAGAAACTTCTTTTTTTAAAAAAAAAGCTAAACCAGCAACATAGAAACCTCACAGAAAAGGGGGAAATACGAATTGCCCATTTAATTAACGTAGTGAGGCATTTAGAAAAGAACCTCACTAATTCAAAAATCATGCCCTGACAAGGTTCTTAGTTTATTTTTTACTATTAAATTAGTAAAGCAAACAATCAAAAAAAGTATTCAAGAAGTCTGCATTACAACTTGCAAACATGGTAAGGTATGCTAAGTGTTTAGTCTCCTACAGTAAAGTAAGGAGAGATATTATGCAGTACTCAACACAACTTTATGGACTTCCGAAAAGAACACTAAACATTTTCTTCAAACAATCAGGTTTTGGATTAAGAAAATAAAAAATAGTTCTTTACCCAAAAGTTAATAAAGTACCTACTGCACTAATACATCAAGTAAACATTTGCTGAAGTTTACATCAACTCTGCTCATTTAGGGTACTGCACTAATACATCAAGTAAACATTTGCTGAAGTTTACATCAACTCTGCTCATTTAGGGGTAATTATATTATTCATATATCATACATCTCCACCTAAACCATTCATCATGAAAAACTCCACTATGGGAAGTATAAACAAATGGTTCTCCACTGATTACTGAAAGGTACCACCAAGATTCAAACTTATGACAGCAATGTAATAATACCAACCACTATAGACAGTGTATCTATCCATACTGAAGGGACAGTAAAAAAAAAA